TGAAAAGAAAGGGGCTGTGGTACAATCTAATTGGGTAATTTTAGGAAAATTGAGTACAAGACTATTTCCTTAGTACACTGCCAGCAGACACATGTCATTAACTATTAGCAGCAGTTTTTGTTATAAATATATTTCAAGAGAGCAAAAGAATTTCAGGCTTTACTCATTTAAAAGAAGGGGAAATCAACTTTTGGTACAGAATGTTAGTTTGTCCATCAAGATCAAAAAGACATTATAATTATAATCCTCGGATTTGTCTTGGGGTCGTTTCTGTCTGTAGGTGCCCAGATGGTTGATAAGACCACTTCTGGCATGAAATGTTCTTGAGCGGTAGGTGCACAGGATGGACAGGACATCTCTAGGTGTAGAGTTGACGCCCGCTTTTCTGACTTAACTCTTGTGTTCTCTGAAGCAGCTGTTCTGTTGGCTTCATGTTGTATGGACCCTTAGTATGAGGAGGCACACCATGATGCTCCATCCTTATTTTGAATGAACTGAACATAGCCAATAATATCAGTGATGCATAGAGCCATCGACAATCATTAAAATTGAAACAACCACTCTCACAAGCTCACTCTTTCTATTGGAAAGCTTTAAAAAAAAAATGAATAAATATTTTGGTGCAAACAATTTTTAAAAAGTTTTTGTCCGAACAAATGGTGTGTCCGTGGTTTCTGAGGGCTGACTACAGCTCATATATCTTAATTCTAGTGAAGTGTGCCATTGTGGCCACTAAGTCCAGTGTTGTATAAATAGTATAGTCCTGTTTACATACTGTTTAGTTGATTCCCACAAACAGAATAGGAATAAAAGTAATGTAATAATTGTAAGTGTCACAGTCAGTGATTGAATGGTACACATTACATTATGTGGTACAGTGCCAACATGGGAAATAAAAATAATGCATGTCAAACCATCCTATAATCAAATTTGAATAATGTTTTTAAGGAATTCCTCATTAATGTCATGTAAGGTACTAACTGATGTTCGAAACATCATCTGAATGTACTGTAAGATACTATCATGTGAATGTACTGTAAGATACAATAAGTTAAAAATGCTAACACCAATACTCACCACAATGCGCAGAGAGTTAACAATTCAAAAGTGTATTGTCAAACTGTCAATTATTGAAAACAATTTTTTTTTAAAAATTCTCCTCTCATTTAAAAAGTGTACTAAAAGATAAATATAGAAATAGAGAAAATGTGTAAAGAATAGCAATCTAAAAAAATGCTCAGTGTAGATGCAGCAGTTCTTTCAATCAGTGTTGACATACATAAAGAAAGTAGAAAAGTAGGAATGCTGAAATGTAAATCTATGTATGACCTGCAAACAGCAGAAGGCAGAAATAAGGATCTCCAAACAAATCTTTGACTACATTTAGTCATTTAAAAGAGAATTTTCAGCAAAATTCAACTGAAAGAATGAATAAAAAATTAAGTGAATTTCCAAATCTACAAAGATGTAAAAAGTAAATAATGAACATTGTAATTTGAACATACAAAAAGCAGATTTGGATACTTTCAGTATAATAAAATTGTTTTCATTTAAGATTATCCTAAGAATCAGTCGGTTCAATCAATTCATATTAAAAGTACCCCAGGCAACAAATTTAATATCAGTGATATCAGTATTAGTAGACACGGTGAAAATAGTGCCATTGGCATAAACACTTACAAAAATAGCACAAAGGGACAATTGAGATTCACTCTAAAAAAAAACCCAAACATTTTCATTGTTTTAATGTATGCATTCTCATCTATAAGTCAGCTAGAAACTTGAAATATGAAGAATTATTTGGGATATGGTAGGAGGGAATTAGATATTGAAGTTTAGATGAGGGTAAGAGTTACACAGGTCTAGTTCATTACAAAAAAATACTGGTTACATATTGTAACAATATGGCCTCAATGAATTAATTATCAAAATATTTTAACTAAAAATCAACAAACAAGTTTATCTTCCGAATGAAGTCTTAGGCGAGTCGGGACCTCCACTAAAAAGAGAAGTATGCTAATAGTTGAGGTGTGTGGGCAAAAACTAATACGCAATCGTTGGGTTTCTTTCAGAACAGCTTTAGATAGCAAAAGCAACATGCACATATTCCATATAAGATATAAAGAGAAATATTTAATGAATACTAAATTCTTCTCTGTGAACATCTTGATACATTATCGTCAGAATAAAACTCATTACTATTAGAGAAAATGCAGACATTTATTAATTGCACAACCATGATTATCATATTCTTAAAATATATGCTGCGGAAATAGGATTCCTATTAACTGATTTAGTTGACTTTCTTTGCCTTCTCAAATCACCATCAGCACACTGCTTATTATTTGTGATGATATGCCATGAAGACAATATTCAAGTAAACAGGCAACTAGACAACTCTTAAACAAACAATATTAGCTTTCCTGTGTTTTGCTAAAATAGTGAGCATGTTGCCAAATCACATGAACATCAGCAGAAATGTTCTACTATGTATACCAGTGCAATCAAATGTTTATATATATATATATANTATATATATAAGAGGCACATCTGACATTGATTTGTATGTGGCAATTTAATTTATAAAAACATTTTGAACTTCCCTAATTGTGAAACTGTTGGCTGAGACGTCACATAGATATGTTAAAGAAAATCAGGTATACATCTGAATAAAGTCACAAAACAAAGTCTTATACATGCAAGGCATTAGAGGGTAAAGTGACACCCCCCCCTCCCCCACCAACTTGCTAGTTTAATAACTGGTAAATCAAATAAAAGTGAACTTAATATTAATTAGGACTTATTAAACTGTTAGTAGAGTCAGTTAAATGTAGGTAAAAAGAAACTGTTTAGAATTTCCTGTTTACATTAACACTTTAAGTTTTGCATTTTAGTTGTAGACTAACCCCCTCTGAAGAAATATTATGTTGGCGCCCTGGTGTACATGTATATTCATGCTGCTCTAACAAAGCCAAGAAACGAGCCTTCCATAGGAGGATTTGGTTTACTAGGAGGTTGGAATTTCTATATCCCAAGTCTTCTAGATTTTACTTTTTTTTTAAATTTTACACAACATTCCACAAAAATCAAAAGCAACCATGCTTTATCGACAAACATTATCATGGATTGAATGAAAAGATTCGGTAACAAATTTAACAGCAAATAAGATACTTTACATAACAATGAAGATCACATACACTGCTGCTAAAATTTCATATTTGTAAGAAAGTGAATTGATTCAATATTACAACCTAAAGCATAGTTGCTCTTGAAATGCGTTGAGTAAATGTATAATGCAGATGTAGACAGCACAAATTATTACCTGCTATCTCATAGTTATCTCTGACTTTTTATTAATTTATGACACTGATGACTGTGCTTTCTCAAATTAAAAAAAAAATGTGTTGATTTAAGGGTGCAAGAGAATGGGTTAAAAAGAAACAAGATTACAAAAGTGGGAAGACCGTGCTAAGAAGAAATAGAAAAAAAAATTTCTTCTTCAGAAATATTTGTTCTCAAAATTATAACTTGCATTAAAGCTGGTTGAGTAAAAAAGAGCATCAGGGAAGTGTATAATAGATAGTTTAGGGCACAGCAATGGACAATGCTGTTTTCACCACAAATCAGAATTACACTGCAGGGAAAGAAATATATTTCAATAACCTAATGCTTTCTTGGCTTAGTAGTTACAAGTTTCATTAATTTATAGAGAGATTGAATGTTCCAGTGTCAACAGTAAATGTGCAGACTGCATCAAGACATGAACCTATAGTCAGAAAACTTCCCTTTCCCCGAAATATTTAAATTAGCATTTTTAAAAACAGACTCGTAAATAATTTGAGCAATACACAACTATCCTGCCCACCCAATACTTAAGCCCCTATTTTATACTTATGTAATAATATTTAGTTTGGTTCCACCTTTGGAGTGATAGTTGCAGATTGATTACAATTAAAGTATTGCTATGGTAAAGGTGAAAATATGCAATCATGAGTTAAGATGGGACGCTACTAGCTCTACACATAAACTATTAAATCCTCTCAAGATTTCATGAACTTGACACACATGGCAAGCCTGACTACATAAACACAGCTGGGAAAGCGAATGAAAAGTTTCACCCAAAGATATGATAGTTGGATAGTCCAGGTGATCGCATGCAACTCAAATCATTAAACTTTTTTTTTTTTTTAAATTCAACATTTAAATAGAAAAAGAACTTTCAAACTAACTTTATTCTCATGAATGAAAAAGAAAATTAGATTCTGTCAACAAAGTAATGCATAATAATGCTATGTGGCTTTTAATAGTGAGAAAATTAGAAATATTTTTTGATATGTTAAACATCGTACATAAATCATATCCTGTCTTTCTAGTTAGTTTCTGTCCTGACAGAATCAATGGAACATGTGACAAACGTATTATCCTTGACATGGAACAATTTTCAAGGCAGTGAAAGTTGTCAAAAGTGAAAGACAACAGTATTTTAAAAGATATGGGCAATAATTCAAAAGGAACAAGTTATACAATTTGACACTTACAAAGCCAAAACTATTTCATTTTTGAGTGATAGCTGGCAAACCAGGACATTGTTGTCTCTAATAGAAGATAAGGGAGATTACTGTTCCTATGTTGCACATATAACATGCCAACATTTAAAAAAAAAAAAAAAATTAAGTTTAATGAGTCATTACAAATTATATATATATATATATCTTTTTTTGTAAATTCTCGTAAATGTCAACATTGGGAAAGTATCAATAAATAAAAGAAGAAAACTGTGTTTACTTGGCTTGTATTCAAGCTTTCAAAACAGATCTCATTTGTGTTCTTTTTTGGAATAAATTATAATTATATGGAGCTATCTTGAAAATTTTAAAAAATAAAAACCCTAGCTGAAGGCTGTCATTGAAACCTAGCAGCATCATTTAGTGATGGAACAGCACATGACAAACATGTGACTAATATGGAAGATTTAAAAAATCAAATGCAAAAGAAAGGATTGATATTGTAAATGTGTTGCTGTTGATCATCTCACAATGTGGACTATACATATGTGAGCTTCTGTAATCTGACATAGTACCAATCATTAAAAAGTACTTGCCCCTTTTATCATAAGGCAATATATTGCTATAAGTGGTATTCTAGATTCCGTGAGTGAATATTTGCAAATGACAAATATTGAAAAGCTGGACTGAGATGATCCAAATCCTCAAACATGAATACACGTTAGCCATAACTAGTGAACTTCGTGATGATAAAGTCATTCCATTCGAATTTTTTTTTGACTTTCCTGATGACCAGCTGTGTTATCTGACACACAAAAATCCTCGGACATTGTTTAAAAATACATCAAAGTTTGCTCTGAATGTGATTTTGTTCTGGCGTGTGATAGTCAGCTGTAATGACTGTGGGGTGAGTTCATTGAAAGCCTGAAGTAGACGATTCTTATACTCCTCTGGTTGCACCTGGATCAGTTGGTTTACCAGGTCCTTGTATAACTCCTAAAAGTAAAAGAAAACATGCAAGGCATTAGTATGTTGTTACGGTATTATCATCATCTCTGTTCCAACTACTACTATTATTATTCTGTGTCTAGTAACATTATGTAGGTAAAATTTAAATTTTGGGTGCTAGAAATTAACCGTTACCAATAGTAAACTCAAATATTTTCTAACAACTCCTCTTTCCACCTTGTTTCTAGATTAAAGGTTGATTACATGAGCAGTTAGAGCAATAATGTTGTGTTTAAAATAAAACCCAATGGGTTTACCATTCACTAAAACCCATGTTCATATTTTTCTGAATTTCTCTGGATAAAGCGCTCTGAACTTGACTTTTACATGATTCTTGGGTTAACATCAAGCTTTGAATAAAATTTGTACATGTCCCTGAACATCCAAATATATAATAATGTGATCTAAACAATTACCTGACTACAGCAAATTAAACAAAACAAAGTTGTGCTGCCAATTTCTTGTAAAGAAAGATCAAAGTTGTCTAAAACCAGCATCCGGAAAATAACCTATAGAAAGACAAAGAAATGGAAAACAATGAAAAGCAAATACATTTATGTGAGAATAACTATTTTACTGTGTATCAAGTCTGAGCAATTTACGTCAACTATAATCTTTTAAATTGAATATTGCTATTGTGATCCATGCCATGACCGAAGGCTATTTTCTAAACACATCTGTATTTGTGGATTCTAAATTAGAACATTTTCTTGGAATATGTAGCAGAACCAAGTACATGAACTACAAATATGATATTTTAGAGCATTTGCAAATTATCCAAGTAACCTACTAGATATCAACCATTTAAAAATGTGAACAAAATATGTGATCTACAACACATCCATGCATGTAAATTTAAATTGTAACACTTGAGGGCATTCCCAGCTGCTGGACAAAGGCAAAATGCAGGTTTTCAATACATATTATTTATTTTATTTAATAAAATCTTCAATGTGATTCCAACCACTTTTGATGCAACATAGCCACTAAACAATGTTGGTGTTAAGTTACCTTTAAAAAATGCCCCAAAGTTAACTGTAAATGCTGAGATATCTGAGGATTCTGAAAATAGTGAGATGCAATGGCAAGAAGCGATTCAAATAGCATTCTCATGACATCTGTGCCTGAACTTTGGCTCAGGTTAAGGTACACATTGATAAAGACATGGAAACAGCAATAAATTCACACAAAAATTTAACTTTACTAGCTATATGAGATACATATTATGCACAATTGAACAAAATACTGTGACCAGGACAGTAGATTGTCGTGATGGAAAGAATGGGTTTGCCAAGAGAGTAAGTAGCTGACAAAGTAGAGGGATGATGATTGCTGTGACAGCACTGTGACTAAGTCTAAAATCAATCATTAAACAGCACTGTGACTAAGTCTAAAATCAATCATCAAACATTCTACCTTTAACTCTACCTTTAACATATAATTTATTGTGTTCTTGTATTCAGCTCTTTTACAAATTTATGAAAACTGGTTTAATAAATAACATTATTACAATGTTCAAAAGTAGAGTCAAATTCTCTTTCAGTCAGGTTGAGTTAGTGAAATATAAACATTTAAAATGTATTAAAAAATTGAATTTTCAAAAATATTGTTAATATGAATACATTTTTTTTATTGATAAGAAATACTTTTAAAAATGAAAAGTGCTAGAGAAAAAACACAACTAAACAGTAACTTCGGTTTTAAAAAAAATAGGAAATTGGTTAATTTAGATACAAAGTTACCATTGGAGATGTCATCTTGTGTTCATTGTATTCAGCAAGATAAGAGACAGTAGTTAAACACATGGACACAGTTTGCGGAATGTAACTGTAGCATATAGCTCAGGAACATAATGAAACCAAATAGACAAACTACTCGCCCAGACCATTCCTCCAACTCAATAGTAAAATTGGTCATAACCATAAAATAATCCTAAGAAGGGAAAGGTGGCAAAATGACTTGAACACAGCAGCCCTAGACTTCAAAAACTTTGTCTCATCAAGATTATATGCACCCATTTTTTGTATATGTAAGATGCTTGGCCTAATATAGGATATTATATATTTTACATTTCCAAGCTTCTGTAGATGCCGATATGTTTGCATAAAAAAAGATTTCATTAAAAAAACTTGGTAAGCAAGAGGGAAAAAAAATCTTCCCCCCAAAAAAGATTTTTTAAATTCAAATTGCAACCTTACCACACCCTCCCTCAAACGTAAATATTAAAAAGTGAATAAGTGCCATTTAATGGCTATTTAATAGTTATCTAATTATTGAAAAAAATATGTGCATGATTGTGAGTGAATTGGACGGAAGTTGGGTCAATAGAGCATCCTTTTCTATACAAATGCTTTAAAAGTACTATTAATTCTTTAAATATTGTGATTGTTCAAAACGGTGAATCACAATATCATTTTTCCACAGGGAATAACCCACATTTTATTTTTTAATCATCCCATTTTTTTAAAAATTTAACTGATTTCAGCACAAAGTGCTATTACTGGAGGCCTGTAACCAATAAGCCAAAAGAAGCTCAGAAAACAAGGATACGAGTTGAAGCCAAGTTCTATGGAAGCCATGATATTATTAAAGAGCTGTTGGGGAAGCTGGCAAAATTTTTCCGAGTGCAGATCTGACAGGAAGGAGATGAGCCGAAAATAACAGCTACACAAGACAGGAAACTGTGGAGGAAAGAATGGTGAAATATCTTCAATAAGTGTCAACTTATGAGGGTGCTTGATGACATGATTTACAATACTCAATTTTGTATGTGCATTCATGTGGTACTTATTTTTCAGATTAAAATGGTCCTTTCTGGTTCAAAGAAAGATAGCAAAAAGTTTTTAATTTATATATTTATGGTATCAGACTGCATATTTCAAAGCTCAGTAAGAATATATGTGTTAAAGATTCTGATAATTTATAATAACTAAGTAGTTCATATGAAGAGCTGATTTTCAAAATGCTGTATATTCATTTTTGGGGTTTTGAGATTATTCTACTTTTTACAAAAAATTACATACTGTGTTTAAAGAATTAAATAATAACCAGGAACCTGGTTTGCTCTACAAAAAGATAAAGTTTTTTCATTTTTTTCAAAGGTGGTGGATACTGCATTTTGAAAATAAACTCTTCATATACAATTTTATTATACAAAATACATTTAAAACATCAGCACTAAAGGAAACTGTCATAAATACCTTTAACATCTCAGCACTCATTAGAGGCACTATAAGTTCAAGGCCATATATGACAACAGTTGGTCCATCGATACAAGGGTTTTCACAATTAGCCCGCTCCTCTGTACCAGGATGGTAGAAAGACAAGGGTTGAATCATTGTTATAAAATGCATATAAAATTATGCTTCAGAGTTTAAGTAACTACTTTGTTAAATATGAAAGACATCAGGAAAAACTGTAACAGTTACTACCTTTATTGAAATCTAAAATATCTTTGGACATGAGATTGGTCAGCATCTCCATAATCAATATAATATCCTTGAACTTGGTTTCCTGTTCATCATCTGCTGTTATGCACTGCCGACCTGCACAGTAATATAAAATGCTTTTCTTAAGGTCAGAAAAAGTCAATCTGTAAGAAAACCCAAGGGTTTAAGTTCTACATCAAGTGTTTCTGGTATCAAACGAACAGAAGTAAAATAAAGCAATGAGTTCAACCCTGCTAATGATGTGTGCAGTGATTCATTTCCTTTATACAAGTTAATGAGGAATATAGATAACTAACATATATTATGTGAGAGAAAGACATAAGAGGGTTAACTCACCCAAATTATGCCTAGCATACATCTGTATAGCAGACAGACTCAGTTGATATAGTGTCTGTGAGTCAGCCTGAAGAACATGATTAAAGAAAATTAACAAAATGAAATGAATTACAATGACCAGCTAAATTAAAAATAACATGGCACACCTCTAGAGAAAATTTCTATTCAAAAGCTGCAAAGAGATTATTCAAGCTAATGAAAAGACTTACAGTATTAAGGAATGGCAGCATCTTGGCAACTATTTCAGAGAACAATTCAAAGCTTGTTGTGATCACATCCTCATAGTTGTGATGGATGTCTATAGCTTTGATTACATGACTGAGCAGTGGACCCATAAACTGGTGTGATATGAAAATGAAATACAAAAACTATTACATACCAAATGATATTTCAATTTATGATAAATTCATATATTTTTTGGATGCTACAGTGGTACCTTGGAATCTTCATTTAATCCACTTCAGAGCCGTGTTCAAGGTTCTGAGACAATTTCTCCCATTTAAAGTAATAGAAACTGAATTAATACGCTCCTAGGTCCACAAACTCTATGGATCCCAGTCCCTCTCTTAAAGTTCTCAAACTAACCCCTGATGGCTTTAAACTCCTTCTTTTGAGCACTATCATCAGGCCTTTCACTAAATCATCTTGCGAACCTTGGCTTTTTCACAAAGTATCATCTTAAAAATGACATCACCAGCCAGCCATTTTTCATTAATCCAATCTAAGAGTTGTTTTTTTCATCTCTTCCAAACTCTTCAAACTCCTAGAGGCCAGTGTTGTAACCCCTTTTGCGACATCACCAGCTTTAATAGCTTCTTTATTTTTAAAAATCGCACAGTTGAGTTAGGCATCCAAAACATTCTTTAATGCTTAGCTTTAAGATCTTTCTTAAATTCAAATATAGCTCTAACAGTTTTTATTTAACTCTTATTTTCCTCATTACACTTTCTTGGACCTATGGCAATTACACTTAGTTGTTATTATAAATATAAACAAATGCTTTCACTACAGCTTCCAACAACAAAATGAATGACAAATGATTGGCAAGATAGTTGGGGAAATTTATGCACAAAAAACACACTAATAACATGCTGGGCATTAGGATTCCAAACCAGCATCCGAATTTCAGGCCATCTTTGCTGAATATTTTATTCTGACTACAAGTTGTTCGAGTTCTAGGGCTTTCGGAGGTACCACTGAGGTTAGAGGTTAAATGCCAGGATTTCCAAATAATTTTGTCAAGACTATATTTTTTTTTAATAGAGTTTTTTAAATTGTTTAATGGTAACAAGAAAGCAAACCTGAAAGTTATAAAAATCAGTGTTACCTGAAACATTTCTTTAGCTATAGTGTTTTGTGTAGCAGTTGCCACTCCAATCAAAGTTTCCAGCAAGTACAAGTACTGCTGCCTACTTGATTCCAAGCCAGCTTTAAAATCATGGGACTCAACCAAATGGAGGAACCTCTCATGGTTAGACTGAAGAAGCTAAACATTTGAAGTGCATCACCATAATCAATTTGTTGTATACTTTTACTTTGGAACAGATCAACACACATAAATAAATATTTAAAAATATTTGTTTGCAGTTAAGCATTTAAATTTCTCTTTATAAAACTAAAAAATTCATGTAGGCTTACAATACTTTTTATATTAAGGATTTTCAAACAGTCATGGTTCTATTATGAAAAAAAGAATATATGTAATTTTGAGTTCTGAAAATATTTAGTCTGTAACGCAAATTCAATAACATGATATATGAAAAGATTATCACAATCAATTAATTCCTTAATTTCTTTATACTAATAAGAACAATAACACACCAATTTCTCATATGAATAAGTAATTAACTGACCAATTTCCAATACTGTTCTTCTTGAGTTGAATTTTTGATTCCACATCCAGCAAGTACCATGGCCTTCATGAACTGCCTACGTGCACTCGGAGCTAGAGTAGATACTGGTGGCTCATGATTTGATTCTAGCCTGGCTAGATTCCAAAGTACCTCTGACTGACATAAGTACATGGCTCTGTAATTGGTAAACATTCAAAAGGTTTGAATTTTGTTATGTGTCATTAACAAGAGATGCTTAAAAGCAAAGAGATTGTTACAATGTTAATAATAATATGAAAAATAAAATAATTATTCCATCCTTTGTAGTTATGTTATATACTCAGCACAGACTTTATTCACCATCAAGGCTTACTTAAAGGCTAACACAATTTAAGTGCAAAACTCAAAATAGAATTTCCTTTACCTTGTGCTCTGCTCAGCCATGTCAATCAGCAGCTCCAGAGTGTCACTTATAAGGTTTAGTTCAGAACCCCAGATTGCCAATGTGGCTAAAATTTTTTGCATGATGAAATTTATTGTCCACTTTATGCCCTCAGTATCCATACCAAAGGCTGTTGCTAAGGCCAAACTCATCTGGAGTGCAGATTTATAATAACAATAAAGTATGTGCATATCAGCCTTGAGGTGCCATTTTTTAAATAAATAAAATTATAAAGGCAAATGGCAGTGGTCATGTCATTAAGAATTTTGTATCTTAAGATTATTGACCCATTATTTACAACAAAATAACACTTTTAACAGATATTTACTTAAAACTTCTTTTATCTTTTACTTAACTTTCTAGCACATTAAATTACAAATAAATATGAACTGATTCTTACATTGTAAATTTACTTATGTCCTTTTTGAAGTTAGCAATATCAAAACTAATATAGGACAGACTTTAATATCGTAAATAAAAAAACAGTTAAATGTTTTTAATTAAAACTCCTATTTTTGCTATCATTACTAAATATTCAATAAGTAAAAATGCTTAAAAGATATTAAATTGTAAGAAATATGAATTCTTCTATTTGTATTTAATACTAATAGGGATAATTTTTATTCTATATAATATGGAAAAATTTTGTATTTAACTTGGCCAATTTCTTTTTATATTGAGAATGGGCAATTTAATTTGAAAGTTTAACATGGCTAACTTGGTTTTCATTTATTAAATAATATGTTATCAAACTTACTTCTGTATAATCATTTTCATCATGGAGGAGGTAGGCATCAGACCATCTTTCCAAAAACCACATAATAGTGCTGCCTATTTGAGGACTTAAGAATTCATTTAACTTGGCATCTATTGCTCTGTTCTCTACTTCACATAACCTGAACACGGCTGTAATTAACCTGTAGATAAAACAAGAATGTCATAATGATGTGAGGTTACAGTTGAGATATTATAATAAGACTTGTTTGCATTTTTTTGTTAAATTTATAGGCCCTCATCTAGATCACAGAAATTCTTTTTAAATTCCTAGCAAGCAATAGTGTGATTCTACCGAATCATGTAAGACTAACTATAACATGTGTATAATTATGAGGATCAATACTGTAAAGAACTACCTTATGACGGGATCAACATTCATTTCCTGGGCAGGGTCCAACTTTTCCCCAAGTGAAGAGAGCATTTTTAAGGTCAGGTTTATATCTACATTCTTGGACTGATTAATGGAGTATTTCATGATAACAGATGGAATGGTTGGTGTCTCTCCCTCAGCAGCATCAGCTAAAACATTGCCTGAGGCCAAACAAATCACAAACTCAGTTGTTTTAGTTATAATTCATTTTTAAAATGACAGAATTTTAACATGGTGAATTAGGATAAATCAACACTGATTTCTTTTTATACAGAATTAATTTTTTTTTTTACCTTGGCTACATCAAAGTAGTTGACAATTTTTACAGTTCATCCCATTGAAATAAATATATATTTCAAATGTAATGAAAAACTGACTAACCTGTGACTAGAATAAGCCAATGTAAATCTTCTTGTAAAGCATGGAGTCCACTAATATCAACCGTAGTCTCATGACTACTGACCATTTCTTTTTGCTGTTGTAAACGGTGCAAATGATTACCAATCTGAGCTACTCTATCTTCTAAAATCCTGCAGATTATAAAAAAAAAAGCATATTAAATTAAATCATAAGTTAAGGGTGAAATTTTCCTGATTTCCTAATTAAAATTAAATGATAAAGACAATGGAGGTATAATTATTTATCATCTGTAAAATCATTGAGATGCAGATAATCTTAATACTAATATTCCGAGAAATGTAATGGCTAGAAAAAAATAATTGGAGAAAGAATATAAAAGTAAAGATAAGAAAACAACACAGATATCTCTCCTCAATCAAGTTTAAATACATTTTGCAAGGGGTAACACTAATGACCTTACTTTGACAAGAGAGGGACTGTGTGTTCTGGAATGACACGTCCAAGTGCACCAATACACCACAATTGGTCACAAAACTTGTACCTATCATCTTGTTCTGTTTCATCAATATCTTCATCAGATTCATCAGCATTCTGTGTGAAAGAAGTTAGCATGAACTTTAACAACTATTTTCACTCAGTTATAACGAACATAATATATTCATTTAACCCATAATCCTTTCCAACCTGATAACGACTGCTCCATAAATTCAAAATTAGAACTAGGTACAAATCCAACAAAATGAACAATGAAAACAACTTTAAGATTGCTAAAAACTAAACACACACACAGACAACCCCCCCCCCCACCTGGGACTAAAATGCTGGGAAATCTCTATTGATACCATGAAAAACAAAATTCAAAATTAGAACTAGGAACAAAACCAAAAAAATGAACAATGAAAACAACTTTAAAATTGCTAAAAACTAAACACACACCCAGACAACCCCCCCCCCCCCACCTGGGACTAAAATGCTGGGAAATCTCTATTGATACCATGAAAAACTTAAGACAGTTGGGGTGATGTTGGGCAGAAAAAAGAAACTTTTAATTTGTATAATACAAACATTATTTAAATGTAAAAAATACCATATTTCGAATGCCATCAGGTGATGCTAGGTGACATTGCATATATGAATTGAAGATTTGTGTAGCTGGTGAGATTAAAGTTCCAGGTGGTAATGAATCAACTTCCAAAGTAATACGTGACCAGGACTCAAGAAGTTTTTCATACGACTCCATGTAAATGGTGTTATCTTTGTGTACCTGATGTTGCACACAAAAAAGCGTTGAATGTATTCCCAGGGTTAAATAAAATATTTAATTGTCAACAGCAAATATGAACCTAACTTTTTATTTGCCAACATTCTAAACATATTTCAGACCTGTTTACCCTCAAACTCCTGAAATAGTACAATATCGTCTCAAAATCATAAAATACAGTATCTTAATGATAAATCAATAAACATTCAGTATATATAATTTATGCAATGACTAGTCGTATTACGTGTCTAGTGGGAATGAGCTAAGCTGACAAAAAAAAAAGGTAACTTCCATAAGTACATGACTGACGTTTATATTGCAATCTGCAGTCACTTTGTTTTGCAGACATGTATCTGCTATAGATATCAATTAATATTTAGGTGAACGTGCAGATCGAATTATCACAGTCTTTCACTGGTAAAGATAAAGTTACTAGTGAAATTTAACTTTAATAGATCAACAAAATGAAAATTTATAAAAATAAGTATTAATTAACTAATTAGGACGACATTTTAAAAAAAAACTACCAGGTAACTTGAGATTTATGTTATAGGAAAAGCTGATTTAACAAATACAAAAAAAAAACAACAACAATGGTATCCATTATGCCCATTTCCTGTTTACATATTTATAGTCTGATAGCTACCACAAGTTGTAAATGGTTGAAATAAACATTCAACAGGGGGTATTAAAAATTGCACAGCTGTTTTGTATGTTCTAAAAATAGATTTCAAAGGGGCTCTAATCTAATGTTGCTGTGCAGAACTGTTGAGAAAGCATTCTCTAGTTTTCTAAGTTTCTGCACTCGCCGCGGTTATGTCTCAAAATTACGTCATACAGCACCGGAGCAAACAAAGGCAAGGAGGTGCCATCTATATCATACGTAGGCAAAAAATTGAAATGTTCAGACCACCCACTCCACATTGACAATGAGCCTTCGACCCCAGCCCCCATAATAAAAAGCAACCAACAAAATTCAATAATCTTGATATAATTACAATGTTACAGTAAACAAAATGTGTCAGTGGTTTTCACAGCTGGCTGTTTGGCAAGCCCAGTGGTTCCCAGGATATTTGCCGCATCGCCTGGGTGCTCATTGCCCTCAGACAGAGCATGAACACAGAGTGGAGTCTTAATCAGGGGGCGTCAGAATCGTCTTTAGAAAGGACCTTATTTCATTGCACATTTTTCTAAATGGGTTTCTGGGGCTCCTCACAGATTGCAAAATATATAATTTTATTTCCACTTTTAATTCAATGTGACATCTATTGGTCATTATGCAAATAGTAACCCACTTGAGCAACTACTGTTTGCAGTTAGGTGGCGCTTAGTGTACATTATTTATTTTTACCTAAACCTTTATTTTATTTTGTTTATGTATTCGCTATTTCAAAGTGTACTTTTACAATTTAACACAGGGAGTCTGGTGAAAACCTAAATTAGACATAGGCACTCGCAATCAAAAATTTTAGGAACCACTGGCGCAGCCCAACAAAATATATGCCACATTTGCATTCAACTTTTGGTGGACTAAAGGTTACTGTAATTTCTCTATTACTTAGTACTATCTGAGCATATCTCTTGAAAGTTCATTTGTGAAAATACATGGCAAAATTATGCTGATAATTCACAAAACAACAATGTGTGATATTTTTACAGCATTTGAAATATACATATGCTATTTTTGGACTTTTAGGATGAAAATTTTAGAATCTTTGCTGAAACCCTCCCTTTTTTTTTACACGTCTCATAAATTATCACAACTCCATTCTCCTCTCAGGGCAAACATAATATAATTATAGATGATCTCCAACCAATCGTATTTCTCGATCCATTCACTGCTGGCTGTAGAAACCAAATGCAAGTTAAAACTAACAACAAATATTGTACATACTTTTTAATTAATTAATTTGTTTAATCTAAAAAAAAAAAAAACTACGGGAATGTATAAATTTTCAACCCGGTTTCTTAAAATCATAGTTCTGACAGGTCTTGGTGCATAATTGTAAAAGACATCTCAAAATCGTACATTGTACGCCAAAATCATAAGAGTAAACAGGTCTGATATTTCATGACATTTCCATTTGGACAATTTATTAGCTTCCAGCTGTAATGTACAGATCCCACAAAAGTTTTTAAAACCGACCAACGTACCGATTCCTCTTGAGCAGCTAGTCGACCAATACTACAAGTGAGGGTGGTTAGTGTTTGGATAAATGACTTAAACAACATTGCATCTAAGGTGTTGAAATTCTTGATCGGGAACATTACTAACAGGTTCTTAAATATGGAAGCAATGCCAAAGTTCTCATACTCTTGGAGATCAATTCTGTTAGATACAAAAAAAAAAAACAAATTATAATTAACAAAAATAATAGGCTTAACTTCAGAGAGCTCTAAAGAACCATTCCTACAAGAATTATTTTTTTTTAAAAACAATTTTATTTTAAAATGGTACAATTTGAGAAGAAGTATGAAATTTTTACAAAAGAAATCATTTCAATAAATTAAAACATAACTTTGGCCTTACTGAGAGAGCATTTGAAGAAAACCTTCAATATATTGAGACAAATATTGGGGCCCAGCTTCATCTGTGAAGATTGGGCCATTGAGAGATGCCAATTGTACAAGGCACTGAAGTGAATGATGAGCCATTTCACTGTTAAATCTGGCTTTCTGGTGAATCTGGATAATAAATGTTCAATTTATTGATTATAATGAATAATGAAGCAACTGAAAGTTACCACTTTGGTGTGCATGATTAATTATTATATTAAATTGTTGATCAGGGCTGCTGTATACATTCAAATCTAAAATAAATATGTTTAATTTAGCTTGATTAATACTTCCAAGATTGCATATTAATAAAACACCTATAGGCTATAGATGCTATTATAGTTGCACTCAGTAATAAAATTGCATCAAGTTAAAATATACAAAAAATAATAATAAAGATGAGTTAAAAAATAAAAACTCACTCGAAAGAACAAGGACAAAGTGGTTTTATCCAATATAACATCTCTCCAGCTAATTGGAGGCTTGAGCGTTGCATTTGGATTTGATACAAAAGCATGGTGCATTCTCACTATTTAAGAGGCAAACAAAAGAATAATTTTTTTAAGCCAAACAAATTGTTTGCATAAAAAAATACAACCAACAAAAACTGAAGCCTATAATTGTTAAGTTTTGCTGTTAATGAACAGAGGTGAAAAATGTCTTCACATCTGTATTTTCTAAATTTATCAAATATCATAATATAACGGACAGAATTTATACACTTAATTAAAAATTACAAACCTCCACGTGGGGTGAATTCCCAGTTCAGCACCTGTTCAGCAATAGAAAGAATACGATTAAGAAAGGCTGTGGCTTCTCTGCTCAAGGGGCTCGGCTGGGCCTCGATTTGGTTGAGGACTTGTAGAGAGAACATAAACACTCGTTTCAAATCAGATTGCTGAGGGTAAAAGCAAGTTGAAATATTGTTAATTGGTTTAATTATATCACTTTTATTGCTGGTCATGTATTCTAGAATAAAAGTATTAGAAACTGACTAGAGCTCACTAATCAGGGGAAGTTATAATTCAGGAAACTGTGCATAAAGATCATTACTTATCTCAAGGGTTTTCTAAGTTTAAGAATTAGATGAACACATTAAGTAAACCTGTGAGTTTCCATTCATTTAATGGGAGTTGAACTGTATCCTGTTAAACTAATCCAGTATGGTACAACCATTTATTAAGACCAAGCTCAACAAATAGGATTCCACTTGCCATTGTTTATATATCTAAAAAGAGGATGGAATTAGGAATTTCTCTCCATGGGGATAGGCACTCTGTAAAGCCACTTCTTTTGCTAGAACAAAAAAGATCTCTGGCTGTTGTTTCTTTGACGTAATTTATTGAGCATAATTAATCCATAAATACCTATTGTATTAATTTTCATAACCTCTTACCTCAAACGCTCTTTTACATTTGATATGAAATTCCCATGTCAATCCCACAGTGCTAGTTCGACTTGTGTAAGAATACTCATTTAAAAGTGAGGTGAGCATTGAACAAGCTACAAGTTGCTGAAATGAAAGAATATGAAAATAATTAATTTTCTGGAGAAACATTTTTCTGTTAAAGTTATTTTTTTAACATAAGAAAATTGTTCCCACACCTAGTTAGATCAAACAAATCGTACAAAATATTATACTGAAATTGTCTGTTTATTTTACTTAAAAACAATTATTTTAAACAAATAGTAACAAACAGGAGACTTTTCCAAAATAATAATTACCATTGTAATGTTTCCACTACTGATAAGTGCTGTTACGTCCTCAAATAAGCCATCACAACTTTTCCCTTTTTTGTCAAGTGTGGCTCTTTTTAAAATAACTGCAACTGTTTGAAGAATCTGCTCTCTCACATAGCTCTAAAAGTGTCGAAGTTTTTTTATGTATGAGGAAAAAAGGGGAGTACGCAAACAATAAAAAATTGTATCCTCAATATTGCCAATTTCTAAAAAGGAAAACTTAGCTTATCTGCAAAAAATGGATTGATCAATCATTAAACAAAAAAATTATTAATTACATCATTTCTATGTTATAGATTAAGCATTATTTTAAGTCCCGATAACTCATGAGGACATATTTATTTTATAGATAAACAAAATATAGATAAATAAATATATATTCATCAAACCTGCAATGTGATGTGATTGGTGATGTATCTTAATAGAAATGACCGTAATGACTCCACAGCATCAGGACCCATGAGGGCCCAATCACGAATAATGGCTTCTTTAATAGTGGTGGCTGCTTGGAACAAGGTGTAATCATTTTTGCTGTTTTCTAAAACAAAAAAAAGAATATGATTTTGTCAAAAAGCTTGTGGCACAGCATCATCTGAGCAAAATGGATTTAGTCTATGAATTAACAAACAATACGTAGACGTAGTAAAAGTAAACATTTAATTGCATTTAGAGCAGACACATTCACAATAAACAGTATAAATAAATAATATTTTTTCAAAACTTTTAATATGTCCGACACTTGAGACTAAGCCTATAGAAGCTGTTTCAAATTGTAGCACTTACCCAAAATATATTGACAAAGTGTATATGGCATACGAGTTTTGTGAAAATTTAGAATGTGGTCCTGAGCGGCCTGTCTTTGTTCTCTAGTTACTAGGTCTGGTGGTGCCTAAGAATTAGTTACAAATAGAATTCTAATTATTAATTAAATTTTCGTATAATGCGGACAGTTATGTGCGCAAACAATAGTGAATCATATTATAACAGCAACAATTTTAATAAAAGGCATTCAAACTAAGGCTGTATTGATCACTCTGCATAAACTGGTAATTTTTCTGGAAAATGGAAATATACTCTTTCTAAACCCGACTTTTTGAGGGAATTATTTCAGAGCATTATTGGGGTGGTCGACTTATGAGTATGAGCAGGTCTTAGGAGATTTTATAATTTTCTCTTGATTCAATTATAGAAAATAATAACCAAAAAATTAATTAACCTATTTCACCCTAAGGTGTAAAGCTGTGTGCAAAATTGGGTTTTTACAACACATTACAACCTGTTCAACACAGCAAGGTCAGAATGTCATACTTTAAAAGATTGTAAGAGCTGTTGAAATCAATTTTTAGAACATTCAGAGCATTTGATACAGTCTGGTTCCAGCACCTGAACTAAATAAATATTTTTCAACTATTGTGATCTGCACTTATGCACACACATCTATCGATATTTATAGAATAATGTATCATATGATGCAAAATACGAGATATTATCCTAAACTGCGAGTTATTAGAATACCACTATGTATATGTTAATTATGTTTGAATCTGATGTACACAACCCCACCACAGTAAAGGCAAGGTTACCTGTACAGCTTTTAACAAGAATTGTCTCACCCTGTCACTTTTGGGAATCCCAACAAGGTATATAGTTTAACCTAAACAATAACTTTCTCATACTTCATGGAGCAATGTTTGCTAATAATCTAAATCTGACAATAAAGTAATAAGTTTAAATGAAATATTCCATTCATATTTAGATTAGATTCTTTTATTGAACCAAATAAACGGAACTGGTTTTTTTAAAGTACATTGCACGTATTCATTTTCAGCACATATAATAAATACATTTTTTTAACCAAGACAACATTTTACAATTTTAAAAATTTAAACTCAAGTTTTTCTCAAGCATAGAAAACAGCCATCCATGGACTCTTGTTGTGATGATATTGACTTAATTAGTGATCATTTATATTTCGTAACTGCTGGAGGGGCACACTGGTAAATTCGTACAGACAAATTCAACTAAAACATTTCAGCACAAATTTAAAAAAATTCACCCTAACTGAAATGCAAAAACAACCTCTGGTATTAAAAAAAAAGTTGTATACATGGCTAAAAATTGTTTCATTTGATGGGTTCTTAAAAGAAGTAATAGTATGTCATTGATTTTCATCATGGCACCATTTCATGATACATTTGAACATAATTTTCATATCTTTCAGAAAATTTTTTAAAAATGATGAAAAGAAGTAGTTGGTGAGAGAAACTTAATGAAATAAGTACAGAATTCAAAATCATAATTCTTAATTAGCTTGAAGTAAGCCTAAGGAACCTCCTTGACCTATATACTGTGGCAAACATCAGCAGTCGTCCCGCTAAGTAAACCCTGGCCAAACACACACACACACATCCCCCCGCCAACTACCTTTAGTAATAATCGAATTAACTGTAATTAAGCTTGAGACTTTGAATCAAAACTTAGTTAAATAATAACAAAAATATTTGTTCAAAGACAAGTTTAAGAGACCTACTTAAAAGTAGAAAATAATTTTCTTAAAATTCATTTCCCAAAGTATGTGCAGAAGGGGAGTAAGGTACCTGAAGCCAAAGGATTCCAATTAAATGTAATATAAACATATAAATATGTTGTATTTTTTCTTTTAATTCTTTCAAAACCATTTTTGCACAGAATTTCTTTGCCGACTTTGCTTATGAATTTAAAGAAAATTATTTCTACTTTTTAGTTGGCTTAAAATTGTCTTTGAAAGAAAGCTTTTTTTTAAATTTTTTAATTTTTCGTATGAAAACTTTACTCAGAAGATTTGTTTAAATTAAACAACGGATGCTTACAAAACTCCAGTCTGATAAGTGACTTAGCCTGTCTTAGCCTTAGCCATATACTACCAAGGCATCAAACAAAAAAGTAGAATTTAATGACTGCTTGGCGTCCATTGATAAGAGTAGTCTAATTTCCAAAATCTGTAGCAGTGTTGTTGTTCTTTTAATCCTTTTCTTAGGTACCGGTACTTTGACACAAAATTTAAATATTGTCCTATTGCCATGAATGATACATCATTTTAAAGGGCTAGCTATAAGCTTTACAACAACACCGATTTCATCTTTCTATCTTTTATAGAAGTGGAGTTATGATTTTTTTGGTGATTTTTAAACACCCCTTTCTTTATCTTAGTATTTAACTGAAAAAACCTGTGACCCACTTTCAAAATTTCTGCCTTATTTTACCCAAAACTTTTTGATTTTAAAAGATAATGCTACCAAATTTTCAGGAGACATTCTCAATGCAATATACAAAAAAAACAACAAAACTTTTATATAACATTAAGACTTTTATTTTTGTATAAATTTATTTGTGGGTATGTTCAGAAAAAAGTGAACAGAAAAATTAGGAAAATCATTATTTATACAGGAAAAAACAAATAAAAACAACATATTTATCGAATTTTAACTAATTTTATTATGCTTGAGTTAAATTTTAAATCAATTATTATCTTTATAAAAAGATAAGTAGTCTTTTTTATTTATAAAATTGAACGCATGTAATTGTAAATAAAAATTACTCAAATAAAATCATCCATGATGATAATATGATAATGATGAGACTAATTCATTAAAAATTTGTATTTGATATATTAAATAATTGTCTATGTACTGCTTTTCTATGTCCTTATAAAAATATAATTGCTATGATGATGTTGTTTGAGTCTTGTTTATTAATTTGATGTATTTTAATAAAACTGTTATATATAGAACTTATAGGCTTGTAATAGAATTAGATTAAGAAAAATTAAGCTTAGGCCTAAATAGACTATTATAGTGTAGGTACTTTGACACACAATTTAAATATTGTCAGATTATCATGAATGATACATCATTTTAAAGGACTAGCTATAAGCTTTACAACAACACCAATTTCATCTTTCTATCTTTTATAAAAGTGGAGTTATGATTTTTTTGGTGATTTTTTAAAACCCCCTTCTTTATCTTAGTATTTAAATGAAAAAACGTGTGACCCACTTTCCAAATTTCTGCCTTATTTTGCCCAAAACTTTTGGATTTTAAAAGATAATGCTACCAAATTTTCAGGAGAGATTCTCAATGCAATATACAACCCAATAAACAACAAAACTTTTACATAACATCAAGACTTTTATTTTTTTAAATATTTATTTGAGGGTATGTTCAGAAAAAAGTGAAGAGAAAAATTGGGAAAATCATCATTTATACAGGAAAAAACGAAAAAATAACATGTTTATTGAATTTTAACTAATTTTATTATGCTTGTTTTACATTTTAAATCAATTATTATATTTATAAAAAGGTAAGTAGTCTTTTTTATATATATAAATTGGAACGCATGTAATTATAAATAAAAATTACTCAAAATCATCTATGATGATGAGACTAATTTATTAAAAAATGTTATTTGATATATTAAATAATTGTCTATGTACTGCTTTTCTATGTTCTAATAAAAATATAATTACAACGATGATGTTGTTTGATTCTTGTTTATTAATTTGATGTATTTTAATAAAACTGTTATATATAGGCTTAACTAAAAAATATATTATTAGTAAGTGTGGTTGTTGATTGTCGTAGTACTAGTAGTACTAGTAATAGAATTATGATTATGAAAAATTAAGCTTAGGCCTAAATAGACTATTATAGGATTATAATAACAGTTGTTTATAATTATAACTGATATATCGGCCTAATTTTAGTAATATTCTCTGAAATAATTATTAAGAGAAAAACGATTATTATTATTGACATTACTATTGTAACACTATTAAATTTAAATATTGATTCAATAATTATGAAGAACGATAAACTGTCTACCGGTACCGTACACAATTTTTAACGTAATAAATAAAACTTAAAACCAACCCTTGGTTACTACATAATTAAACTTTGGTTATAATCTTTTCTTAAAATTATTCATTTTAAACGTCTTATCATTATTTAGCTGTTTAAGGATTTAACATTAACGAATCACAGTGATAGCAGCCATTTCCGGCTTCTTGATCAAAATAAAAAAATGACAATTTTGTACCCCCACTCCTTCGTGGGATGCATAACTTTTTATAGACAAAGTCAAGATAATAACTCAAACAATGAAAAAACTCTTAAAATGAATGTAGATTGGGTATCACTAAACCTTATTTTGGTTGCTTAACTAGTAAAAAAGTATTATGTGCGATTTATATACTAACCGAGTCATTATTATAATACTGTCCGGGATACACAAAAAATCTAGTGGCATAAATCAATATATCTCCGGAACACAAAAACTGATACGTCACTGATGAGGAAAGCATTATTTAATAAACAAAGGCTACGTAGTGTGCAATTTTCCAAAGATACCGTGTAGCCGTACGCCATATTGTAGAACACATTTTTTCGACATTTTAGAACATGCGCAGAACTGTGCGTGAACAAGTATTGTGGTATCCCTAAATTAAAGGATTATAATAACAGTTGTTTATTATTTTAATTATAATTGATGATGATAAGTAGGCCTAATTTTAATAATATTATCTGAAATAATTAATAAGAGAAAAACGATTATTATTATCTATATTACTATTGTAAAACTATTAAATATTGATTCAATAATGAAAAAACAAGAAACTGTGTACTGGTAACGTACACAATTTTTAACGAAATAAATAAAACTTAAAACCAACCCTTGGTTACTACATATACTTTTCAAGTTTGGTTATAATCTTTTCTTAAAATGATTCATTTTAAACGTCTTATAATTATTTAGATGTTTAAGGATTTAACATTAACGAATCATAGTGATGATAGCAGCCATTTCCGGCTTCTCAATCAAAATAAAAAAATAATGATAATTTCATAACCCCCACTTCTTCGCGGGGTGCATAACTTTTTATCGAGAGCTCAACGATAACTCCTCAAAATATGAAAAAACTCTTACAATGAATGTAGATGAGGGAGCACTAAACCTTATTTTGGTGGCTTTACTTGTAAAAAAGTATTTATACGATTTATATACTAACCGAGTCATTATAATAATACTGCCTGATGTGATGCACAAAAAATATCGTAGCATAAATCAATGTAAATATATGACCGGAACACAAAAACTGATACGACGTAAGTGATGAGGGAAGCAATTATTTAATAAACAAAGGTGACGTAGTATGCAATTTTCCATACCGTTTAGCTGTATGCCATATTGCAGAACACGTTTTTTCAACATTTAAGGACATGCGCAGAACGGTGCGTGGACTAGAATTGTTATCCCTACTTTTCTTATTTCCCCATCACTCACTAACCCCAAACCCCCTCTCTTTTTTTCTCAATGCAGCATACTAGAGTTAGAGCTGTAACTATGTATCATCAATTCAAGTGATCTTTCAGGTTAACACAGACAGATGACGACCAACTGAGTCAGAGTGTCCCATGTATCAACAAAAAAAATCAAAACAAAAGAATGTGGGTAGTGGAGAGAAATCTTTAAAAAGTAAAGTAAAGTAGGTCCTAAGTGACTAAGCCAAAAAAAAGCAGATTAAATGAAGTTAAAGCCTACATCAACTAGGAAACCTAACTTCAGACACGAGTTACTTCAGTTCCATGAGAACAAGTACTAAGACTAGAACTAGGACTTGAGTTAGACTTACTTAGAGTAACTTAGTGGCTTAGAAATCTGTATTTCTTAGTCTTAGTTAACTTATCCGTTATCCTTGCCTTATACTTATAATTAAAGTCTTAGGTTTATTACAATTAGAAAAGAACCTGAGAGTATTAATAGACATTTTGTGCGGTCTAGAATTTTAAAAAATACATAACTTGAAATTGTTTGTGATAAAATCATAATTTTTTCTTCATCAATACACCAGAAATCATCTAAATGGTTACCATAAATATAAGGGAGGCTTGCTCCAACTCAAGCATCACCGTCTGTTCAGCCATCTTGACGTTAGCAATATAACAATTGTAGCCAGGACACAAAAGAGTAACATGCCAAATGGCACTCTATAAGAACCTTCACCTTTTGTACTATGACTAATCCTTCAGTGTATTCATGACCATGGTTTACCGAAGTTAATTAAATTAATGAAATTAAATATACTTTAATCGTTTATTTTTATTTAAAGAATGAAATATATTACAAAAAAACTCAAAAGAAGTTAAGCATATTATTTCTATTGGTAAATTGGATGCAAAACAAATGCCAATAATATTATCTTTCATAGCCCGATCCCCTTAACGACACTAACGTTTTTAATTGTCATTTATTTGGCTTTTAAAAAAACTATTGCACGTTGATCTTATTTCAATTAATTATATTTGGGGGGGGGGGGGTCATTATGGTTGGTGTCACCCAGTGCAGTTGAATCATGGTATCAACCACCACCACCCTATTTAAATGTCATTTATTTTGCCTTTAAAAAAACTATTGGCCCTTGATCTTATTTCAATTAATTATATTTGGGGGGGGGGGGGTCATTATGGTTGGTGTCACCCAGTGCAGTTGAATCATGGTATCAACCACCACCACCCTGCTCTCCCCAGCCTCGACCTACGCCAAGTATTTAGATCATAGGTACAGAACCGCTTATAGTATTGTGCTTAAATTAAGTTATAAAGCAAAAAAAAAGAAATAAGAAGATGACCTATTATTTTCGATAGCAGCGTTTAAAAATGCACTTAAATTACGTTTTATTTAAACATTAATAATTAAACATTCAGGTTAAAAGTTTACTTTCCTGATCTTCAAATATGCAAACATATAAATTACTTCATCAAAATTCTTCATCGTATTTGGGCCGTACATTAAGTACGTCATGCTCAGCAAAAGTGGAAGGGTGAGGTGAGGGTTAAAAAGTGTGCTAGTTTAGGAACTCTTGTTCAGTCACTAATAGTAGACTCTTATCTTGAACTGCCTAAACCATATCAGCTACTTCCTTCATGGGTCTTGATCTGATCTGAATTTCAGAATAAAAACAAATAACACGCTGAGGCATCACCCTGTTTTCCTCTTGCAAAGCGAGTCTTGCGTCTCTTGATTGCTCTCCTGGTATTTTCTTCACTCCTCCAGACTTCCCCATGAACCTACCTCGAGCCTGCCTGGTCTGGTGGCACCATGATCTAGTGGCTCAGTTACCACCTTGTTCTGTTTTCAACTTACTCGGATGGCACTCTGATCTGTCAGGTGAAAGCTTGTTCTAGTGCCAACCTGATCTAGTGGCACCCTATTCTATGGCATCCTGCTCTGATGGCACCCTCCTCTGGTGGACATGCTCTGGGGGCAGCTTGTTCTTGTGGCACCATGTTCTGTTGGTTCTCTGTTCTGTTTGCAACCTACTCTGATGGCACCCTGATCTGACTGGTGACAACCTGTTCAATGGACACCCTCTTCTTGTTGCAAACTGCTGTGGTAGCAAGCTGATCTGGTGGCACTCTGTCCTGTGCACCCTGTTCTGTTGGCACCCTGCTCTGGTGGACCCTGCTCTGCTGACGGCCTGTTCTGATAGCATCCTGCTCTTGTGGAATGCTGCTCCGTTTGCAACCTACTCTGATAGCATCTTACTCTATCTGATGACAACATGTTCTGGTGGCACCCTGTTCTGGTGGTATATTACTCTTGTGACACCAATTTAAAAAAAAAAATCGCAGAATTGGCACTTCATTAATCGGTTTGCTTTACACATCTTTGATAGTGACCCTCGTAAGCCCTGTTTCTATCCTAAAATACACAAGTACGGTAGCCCTGGCAGACCCATTGTTTCAGTATGCTCTTGCCCCATCGAACATATCTCGGAATTCCTTGATGAAGTTTTTCAACCCATCGTAGCCTCACTGCCCACTTATATCAAAGATACCAACCATGCTCTCAAAACGTTTTAATCCATAAGCATCACTCCTGGAAGAAAAAAAACACCGTCTACTTCTGCTTGATTTACGTTCTCCATATATTTCTGTCCACACCCTGACGGTCTATTAGCTTAAAAATTTTCTACGAGAGTAAACCCCATCCTTCTATGCCAACCAACACCCTCCTCCGATTGGCTGAACTTGTTCTCACTCTCAATTCGTTTGAGTTTAGCCGCCAATTCTTCGGCCACATCAGTGGTGTTGCTATTGGGGGGGGGGGGCATCTCTTTTGCTGCCCTTTGATACAACATCCAAGCTAAGTGATATTTTTTATTTTTATTTTTATACCGTTTTTTTCTGTTGTTTTAAATTCGTTTGAGTTTAGCCGCCAATTCTTCGGCCACATCAGTGGTGTTGCTATTGGGGGGGGGGGGCATCTCTTTTGCTGCCCTTTGATACAACATCCAAGCTAAGTGATATTTCTTATTTTTATTTTTATACCGTTTTTTTCTGTTGTTTTGTTCGCTGACGAAGGCTTTCTGCCGACACGTTCGTTGTTTTGTTGCGTTTCTTTTTTCAGGTTTAACCATACTCTGTTTTATTCATTCTCCTTGTGTGAATTGGCATTTACGATTTCCCCTACCGGACCAAGCCACGTGGACGCAACCGTTGCAACATTTGCCCTTTCATCATCCAGTCTCAACACATTCCCTTCTTAAGGGTACTTTTCAGATAATGGACGATTTCCTTTGTACTATCCGCAATGTTGTCTACGTCACGGCCATATGCCATACATAGGTGAGACAGGACACCGACTCTCTGACAGATATACTAAACACCTTTGTAATATTACGCAAGATAAGCAGCGTCCCGTCTCTAAACATTGCAATAGAAGCGACTACAGGGGCTCTGGAGATTTTACTATCAATGCAATCATGCCCTGCACTGACACACCAAACCGGCTAAATTTGGAAAACAAGCTGATTCAGACTTATGGAACCTTGACACCGCATGACATGAATGTCATGTTCTCATTCACCTGTTAAACATTTTCTCCTCCCCTTCTCGTTACGACCAATTGCAGTGGACTTATTTTTCCTCTATTCTGTCCCTTTTTGCCTATATTTAATATAGCACCTACTTATGCTCTGTCACATTCCTCTTCCTGCCGGATTAGAGCTAGGTGTTATTTTTATTTAATTCTGTTTTTACGGTTATTTGTTCACTGATGAAGGCTTCTTGCCGACACGTTCGTTGTATTGTTGCGTTCTCCAGCCCCCCCCCCCCTTCCGCCAACCTCCAGGTTTTCTCATACTAGTTTCGTTCATTTTCATCTTGTGACACCTTGCTCTGATAGCATCTTGCTCTGGCGATATCCTACTCTTGTGGCACCCTGTTCGTGTATTTAACTTAGTTCAGTTATGAAACCGTTTTGAGCGCTTTTCGTATAGTGTCCCCCCGCGAGGCTGTCATCCGGTAAGGCCCGCACCCCTAAGTGATGCCACTGCCTTGTCATAGAATAGCTTAGCCTACTACATGACTCATGTCATGATTTAATTATTATTCTTTTCTGCCAGCTCTGATAATATGTTTGTCTGTGTTGAGTCATATGTGCATATTTCCAAATTTGGCTATTTTTTGGATGCCCCTTATTGTGCTAATTTATCTGCTCTCTAAATTCCACGTGTTCTGGTATCCACTGAAAGGTTCGTTTGGCTACATATACTTCAAGAATGTTTACTTTCAAAAGAAGCCATTTTACTGTTGTAAGGTCGTCGTGCTCGGCTGCTTGAATTATTGATTTGCAGTCAGGGAAGATGACAACATTTCTTTGTTTTGTCGTGGAAATTGTGGACATGTGGTGTACTGCTAATTCAATAGCAGTCTCCCCTGCTTCATAATTATTTCAGAAAGTCCCATCGGGATTGTAGAGTTCATCACATGATTGGTCATTGTATTTTATTCGTACGCGTAGAATGGATGTAGGACTACTTTGATAGCTGATCAGGCTGAGTAGTAAATCCTCTAAATAGGGTACTAGGGTGTTGTTTTTTTTTCGAAACTATGATTTTGTGTAGCGGGTCTTTAATTTTTTCATGCTTTCAATTAGGTCTGCATGTCTTGAACTTGGAGCCAGCAGGTGGCATAATAATTTGGTTTCTGGGCGTATCTTAACGCATGGTTTATAAGAATTTTCTGTCTGCTGGTAGTTGGTATTTCTCTATTTAGATTTGATAATCTACTTTAATATTGATTTCTGATGTTTTTTTCCCTACTGGGTAATCCCCATTTCTCAGCTATTTGACCATTCGGCTCATGTTAGTCTAATCTTCTGTATCTTTCTACAGAACTGCTGCTCTTCCTCTTGAGGACTCATTATTAGTATCTATTTCACATTCGGCTGTTTCCTTTTGGAGTAGATCTTAAACCCACTGACACGAAGTGAAGTACCTGACTTTGAACATTTTCAAGCGAATCCCTCACGTTTTCGATGCGTTGATTGTATGTAGTACCAAGTCTTACTCCAAGCAATAATCACACATATAATATATAGAATTAGATATACCTTTAGTGTAGTGTGGTCTTGTCCAGAGGCGTAGCCTATTGACGGCGTTGCAACCGGTTATGTAGGAAACGGTGAACCGAGGACGGCCCGCACCGGGGGAACTTTTTTCCGGGGGGGGGGGGTATTTTTGGCCATGTTTCTTTCGTGAAAAGCGGTGGCAAAAAACCTTGACACGCACCGGGGGACACCAACCTTAGCTTCGCCACTGATGGCAATACACGGTGCGTAATGTGGGTGACATTTTTAGATATCATGGCCTACCCAAAGTATATTTGTTCACGCCGACGTTGCCCNCCCCCCCCAACCACCACCACTAAATTCGGGCATGCGACAAAATGCATCCCAGCAATGTGAATTTAAAAAAAAATACATTTGCGTCGGAGCTTTATTGTGTTCGCTTTTCTGTGTTGAACATCGTTTTCCTTTATTAAGTATAGCCCACTGTCTAAAAAAACATTAATAATAATTAACCCTCATTGTCTTGAAATCAATCAATTAGGTGCAAAAAATAATTTTATTTCAATGCGGGGCC